CCTCCCACCCACCCCCAGAAAGGGACATCTCTGCCATCTGCTCAGCTTGCACCCAAGCAGGGTGGCCCCGGGGCTCCCGGTGAGTGCCAGCCCTGGTGCCACCTTGCCGGGGCAAAACCCCCTCTGCATCCCTCACCGACCTGGATCCGCTTCCCTATCCATAGCACCCATCGAGACCCCAGCTGGGAGGGGATGAACAGGGGAGAGGTGACTCTGGGAATCACTCCCGTTAATAGCTTGCAAAACCCCTCAGCCAGCAGCCGATGAGCATCTCTCCCCACCGGAGGAGTGAGCTGGGCTCCGCTCGATTCCCCCCGCCGGCACCGTGCAGGGCTCAGCGTGCCTGCGTGCGCGCCTGTGTGCGCGGATGCATCCACCAGCCTATAAATCTCCTAGCAGGGCTCTTTCCAAACTTCAGGACATTCCCCGGGGGAAGAGTTAAGATGCAGCTTTTGCGTCAGATGCCGCAGCGGGCTGCCCGCCGGGGCTAGGCTAAACCTCTCCCTGCATCTGCCCCAGCAGGTTGTTTGCAAAGGTCAATCCCACCGGCTGCCGCCGCCGGGCTCGGCTGCTCTTGGCTCAGTCCTCAAGGTACGTAGTCGGGGGAACATCCTCCCCGCTGCTCCGGGAAGGGCTGGCAGGGATGCTAGGAGGTGCATCGGCTGACAGACGAGGAGATACTCCAGCATTTTCCTTTTTTTTTTTTTTTTTTTTTTTTTGTTTATTTTTCTTTCCCTGAGATAAAGAGTGATTAGGATTTCTAGCTGATGCTTTTAAATCTTGCTGTATGTTTCTTTATCTGTATGAGATTTCCATTTGTGCTGGGGATTTACTCAACACATCAAAAGCCTGGGAAGTTACAGGGCAGGCGGCTGCAGCGAATATCTCAGCATGCTTCTAATTAGTCCCTGTCTGGCGGGTATGTGCAATAAGTGAAAAAATGGGGGAGATTTTGTACCGATTTTATTTATTTTTTTTAGAGAAACAGGAAAGTGAGTTCTCCAGACATTTCCCTGACACTCCTGTGGAATTTGCTTTGATAAATGAGGTTATCAAAGAGATTAATTTAAAAATTTTATTATGAAAAGGAAAAAAAAAAGAAAATTTATTTCCATCTTATTTTGGGAAGCGGTGTTTGCACATGAACCGCAAACCTGAGTGGTGCCTGTGCTGTTTTCTCTCCTAGATCCACGCACCGGCAGCAGGGACCGGCGATCCACTTTGTCCTTGCTTAACTCCGTGCGGGAGCAGAAAGCCACCGGCCGATCCCGCCGGCCAGGCTAGCATGACTGTGCTCCACCTGCACCTGTACCTCACTGCCTTGGGCTTCTGGATGACACAGCAGTCCAGCTCCTTCTTGCTCCCCAACGCTACCGAGCTCCTGTCCCGTGCTGGGGGCAGACCCACGGGCCTGCTGTGGGGCGTGGGGGTCCCCCGGACCCGTCGGAAGCGATACCTCTCCCCCCGCGACATGAACGTGATTTTGGACTATCACAACCAAGTGCGGGCACAGGTGTCCCCCCCCGCCGCCAACATGGAGTATATGGTGAGTCGGGCTCTGGTAGGGTGGGTTTGGGTCCAAAGTTCTTGGCTGCTGCAGTGGGGTCAAGGGGCTTACCTGTGACATGGGCACTCAACCTGGTAGGGATGGGTCACCCACACATCGGGACTCAGGGTGCTACCCTGCATGCGTAGCAGAACATCTGCCCTGGGGGATGTTTCATGTCCCTGGTGCAGGGCAGACCCATGCAGCCACTGAGCAGGAGGGATGGAGTCCCCATGGGGTGAGGTTTCCACTCAGGGGTAGATTTAGGACCCCTGGTCCTGTTCCTGGGACATCTGGGAGCTTGCTGGCTGTGGGATGGCAGGATCCATGCAGCTGAGCTGCAGAGGTAGCATTAGGGGAAGGGAGGTGGCTAAAGCATGAAAAGCTCAGGTCCCAAACCACAGCCCAGGTGGGAGCCTATCCCCTGACTGTAGCCAGGAGGGACAGCCCTGTCCCACGGTCCAGGGTCCCCTGGGAGTGTGCCCAGGGATGCCAGCCCCCGGGAGAAGAAACATGCAGGATTGGGGCAGAGAAGGGCTGCACTGCCTTGCCAGGTCGGGCACCTGCTCCAGACAAGGGCCACCCTGGTAAGAGCTTTCCCCAGGTTGTCTCCACCCTTCTTGGAGCTCCTAACCCAGCCCTAAAGGGAGGAGAAATGGGGAGCCACCAAGAGGAGGGATTTCCAGCCCACACAGGCAGGGACCATTGGGGCAGGAGGTGCCACATGCTGCTCTGCTCCCAGCAAGAGGACCGGAGCTTTGACAGAGCAGCTGGGCGGTCCCTGAATGCTGGTTTGGGAAAGACAAGCGGCAGCCTGGCTTGCTGGGTACCAGAACAGGTCAGACGTGCCCAGGAGCATCCTGCGCTGCTTCTTGCTTGGCCTAAATTCCTGCCTTCCAAAATAAGCTCTCCTAAAGCCGTTCAGGATGGGTGAGGAACCTTTCAATAATGCATGAAGGAAAGAGCTGTCCTCACCTGTTAGTCTGCAGCCAGGGCTGCAGTGGAGGGCTGGGGACAGTTGTGAGCTGCAGCGGCAGCGCAGGGCTGTGGGGTTTCATCTCTGGGATCAGCTCCACCTTCTGCAGAAGCAGCTTATTCCCAGAGGGAATCACACCCACGGGGCTTGCACTGCTTCAGGGCATCCGTGCTCTGCCTGGGCAGTGGGCACCAACACGCCCAGGAGCCACGGTGGGCAGCTGGGGGTGTTTCATCACTCCTGGACAGGCTGCCATGCTTCTCAGGGGGTTTTCCCAGCCTTATATGAGTCATGTTTTTTGGACATCCATGGGTGCTTAGAAACCCTCTCTGAGCCCAATGGAGTGTGTTTCTTCTTTTCCCTCCTCTGGGCACCCAAAATCCCTGTCTGCCCTTTTCCTTTCCTCCTGGCCAGGTGTGGGACGAGCGGCTGGCCAGGGCAGCAGAGGCGTGGGCTGCGCGCTGCCTGTGGGACCATGGCCCCCCCCAGCTGATGAAATATGTGGGGCAGAACCTCTCCATCCACTCGGGCAGGTGAGTTCCCCATGGGCTCAGCAGGCTCCTGGGGACCCCCTGCCCCCCATGATGCTGGAGGAGGAGCAGCAGCAGCCTCTCGGTCAAGGAGCAGAGAGGTTCTGAGCTGGGGCTGCAGAGCACTGAGATGCAACCAAGAGGCACATCAGTCCCTCTGGGGAGGAGGGTCCAACTCTTGCAGCAGGGTAAATGTAGAAAACCAAAGGTGCCTGCTGCTCATTTGGGGAGTATGGCATTAACCCCCTCTCTGCCTGGCACACGGAGCAGGGGACGTGGGTCCTGGATCTCCACATGCAGCTGAGTGCTGAGGTGCCTGCAGTGAGGGCCCTGTCTTCTGGCCTTGGGCACAAGCAGAGTTGGTGCAAAGATGTCATTGCCCCCTTCTCCCCAGGAGTGCTTGTCCACACCGGTCCCTGTCTCCATCTCACTTTCCTCCCCCATTCCCTCAATATGGAGCCTTCCTCTCCCTCCTTTCCCTCTCCCATGACCTCTGAGTTGGAGGAGGTTCACCTTACACATGGCACCTTTTGCAGGTACCGCTCCATTGTGGACATGGTGAAATCATGGCACCAGGAGAAGCAGCACTACTCCTTTCCCCAGCCCCACGAGTGCAACCCCCCAGGAACCAGCTGCAAACTGTGGGGCAGCTCACAGTGCCTCGGGCTGCTGCAGCATCCAGTGCAGTAAGCAGCTCTCCTCCCAGCAGCAGTGGGGATGCAGGATTAAATCCTGGCAGCTGCCTGCTTCAAATCAGGCAGCAGGGATGGCAGCAGGCAGCATGTCTGCCAAGAGGCATGCAGGCAGCTGGTGGAGATGTCCTCCCACCCTGGGCCCTCGTCGGAATTGGGCTGCTTGCATGGGGGTCCCAGGGACTCGCAGTCTGCTGAAGTGCAGCTGGGACCTTCTTGCCATTTTTCTTATATTTTTTTTCCTTGCTTTGGCCTTTTTCTCCTTATTACCTCAGTGGCATTATTCAAAGGTGGTGAAGAGAGAAAAAAAAAGCCCCTTTGTGTTTTTGCCAGGCATGAATCCTCTCTGTGATGGAGCAGCTTTATAGCGCCCGCCATGTCTGGCTCCCTGGGAATGAAGCCCCTTCTTTCCCTGGCACATCCACTGGCAGCCTGGCCAGCACAAGGTGGAAAACCTCCCTCTGATCCCCTGCCCGGTGGCAAAGCTGTGCCAACCCCTAATTACCTCCTCTGCATGGCTCCAACCTTTGGATGAGCTGTGCAGGGATGCAGTTGCTCACCATGGGGATGCTCAGAGACACTCTGGGTTGCAAATGGGCAAGATATATTTTTTTAAGGAAGAAGTTCATCCTGCAGAGGCTTTAGGAGGAGCTTCTGGCTCTGACCTCCCTGTGTAAGCTGCTGGCAATGATTCAGGGTGAGGTTTAGGAATGAATTTGGGTAAATCAGAGAAATGACACAGACTCTGATGCTCATTGAAGTGAGCTTGGCAAGGTAGCCCCTTACAGAGCAGCACGGGCTGCAGGCAGAGGAGGGACAGTGAGAAATCACCCTCTGGTGACAAAATGCTGCCCGTGATGGGCACAGCATCCATCCTGAGAAATTTGGGTGAGTGGGATGTAATTCCCTGGTGGGAGAGAGCCCTGTGCTGGGGTTCCAGGGTGACTGGCTGCGGGGCGCCTGGGCGGGTGGTCACTGACAGTGCCTGTTCTCCTGGCGCAGATGGTTTGGGCATCCTCCAGCCGCCTGGGCTGCGCCCTCGGCACCTGCACCAACGTGCGGGTGTGGGGCAGCACATGGCGGCACGCTGTCCTCCTGGTCTGCAACTACGCCATCAAGTAAGTGTGTGGAGGGAAGCCCCCCCGCCCCATGCCATCCTCGCTGCTCACTCCGGTGTCGGCAGAGAGGCGATGGTGCTCAGAGGTGATGCCCTCCTCTCTTTTTAGGGGCAACTGGCTGGGAGAAGCACCATACAAGGTGGGGCAGCCATGCTCAGCCTGCCCCCCCACCTACGGCGGGGGCTGCTCCAACAACATGTGCTTCACCGGACTCAAATCCAACCAAGTCAGCTGGTTCTAGGGTTGTAGCCCCGTGAGGAAGCCCCCAGGGATGGGGACAGGGTGAACCAAAATTATTTATAACACTGTGTCTCCCCCCAGCTGCCTTGGCCGCCCCTCGGCCCCCTCCCTGCCACATGTTAGGTGGCTCTCACCAGCCCAGCTGTCCAGCCTGCTTCATCCCTAGAGCCACATAGGAAATGGCTTTTTTAACACGGCACTCCGGCAGCGCTTGCGTTGTCCAGCTGCTTCCCACTTTAGGCGAAACAAGGACGGTTCAGGTTCCTATTTTGCGAAATAGGGATGGTTTGGGGGTGCGTGGAGGGAGCAGGGCTAGCTGGCATGGTCCCTGCTCTGCAGGCTCGGGGGCTTTCCCCAATGACCCCCGTCTGTGCTAAGGCAGAGGCTGGTGTAAGCAAATACCAAGATGTTCTCCTCATGGCAAGCAGCTGGAGAAGTGGGGAGTCCTGAGCATGCCCCTGCTCCCTGGCAGCCGCTCCAGCCACGGGACCCCCAGCTCCGAGCCCCCCAATAAAGCAGCCTGGAAACCTCCATGCTCGTGTCGGTCGTCCCTCACTCGCAGACTGGAGCCTTGGGGTAACACTGAGCTGGCGCCTTTGATCTGATTTTGGGCGTAAACAGCGAAGGGGTACAGAAGCCTTCAGTGGGGCGGGGGACCACGGCCACGGGAGATGCCTGGGCGCTTTGCTCCATCGTGTGGGAGAAGCCAGCACTGCTGGGACACCGGGTGATGATGACGCCAAAGGGCCACAAGCTCCCTGTCCCACCCAGGCTGCCCCACACCACCCCACTGCCCTACCTCACCCCTGCACCGCTGGGCACCCCATTATCCACATTCCCTCCCTCTCTAGGACCTCCCAGCATTCAGCAAACTAAGGGGTCCCCAAATTGCCAGGCCTTGGGTTTGAGCCCCCAGCTGCGGATTCCCACACTGCAGTCCCCCGTGTCGTGGCAGCCCCCTTCCTTG